TGGAGCCCCTGGGAGCTTACTTTAGGGCCCTAGAGTCACTCTCTTGCCTTCCGAGATCACCGAAAGCCCTCACAAAACACCTTCACCAAACCTGCGCACAATTCTGCGTCATTCAGTCACTCCTAGAGGGCCAAATTATAGCCCCAGGAATCAAACAAATCGTCAACAGGAACGTGGTTTTGATTCCCGGAGGTGGGGATACCAGACCCCAGAAGCTACATCGGGTTTCCTGGGGGCTACGTGGCCCCTAGAAGCTGCTTCTTTGCTCCCAGATATGTTTCAGGAGCCCCTGGGAGTAAGATAACTCCCAGGGTCAAGAGATGAGCTCCTAGCACTGATCGAATCGTCAATAGGAGCGTGACCGGTTTCGTGATAGTGATGGTGGATAGCCTTACAAGCTACGTACGATTTGCTGGGGCTATGGTATTTCCATAGTCACCGTTTTGAAGTCTTTACGAACACCAAGTTTGATCGATGTTTACACAGAGCAAGTCGTTGTTCGACAGCCCCGGAAAATGTGTCCGATGTCTTGGGAGTAACCCAGCTCCTGGAATCACCCTGAGCTCCCAGGGTCTGCTGCCTTTTTGAAAACTTGCATCAGGTATTCTGGGGTTGGATTGGTCGCTGCATATACCATATTAGTGCACCTCGTGGAAGAACATTTGACCCGGACGTGACGTCGTGGGTGAAGAAATTCATAAATACATGCTTCCCATCCTACTCTTTCCACAATTAGGCTCCTCAGTGCCACCTTCTGCCTTGAGAGGATGATAACCACTCTTTTTTGATGATGACGATACTCTCCAACCTTGAATACCATATTCATAGGAACTGACTTAAGCAGTTCGGCTTTAGTGGATTCGATGCCTGACTTTCGATTGTAACTTACAATGTCATCCCCAGTTATATGTTACTCTGAAAAGGGAACTTGAAAGCAAACTCAACCTCTCCCAAAATATTCCTCCCATTTCTGTCTAGCACCCTGCCATTGAATACCGCGTTCGCCTCCGGACCGTACATTCTCTTCCACAAAACAACCGAGCGATCTTCATTATGGGTATCCGACTTGAATTCCATCGCCGTATCATGCTCTGAAAATTTGATCGTGTGGGGTTCTCCTGAAGCGTCGATGTAGGGTAGGGTAGAGCCGGGCCGTATGTCTTGGTAAAGATCATCCCAATCGATCGCAAAAGAGGAAGATTCCACGGTACACATGTATTTCGACCGTTGAGTCTCCATTTGAGGATGTCGATGTCTCAAGTATACGCCCGTACCCTTTAACCACATCACCGGCATGCTCGTATCGGGGTCTCTGTACATGTATTTGCTCTCCACAGGCTGGACTAAGGCGTCAAATGGCTCTTCAGATGCCGCGAGCTCTGTTGGCGCTTCGTACGTGGGCTGGTTGGGGCGTATTGCCACGATCCAAATTTCAGGCGTATGTATGAGTCCGCCATTGGTCTCTACCTCCGCAATTCGACTGCCCCAGTACGTCGCCGGACGTTGGATTCTCTCCATTAAATCCAGAATATCGCTACCAAGAATTAAGACTTGCAGTCCCTTCTTGATCAGTGGCTCAAAGTAGACCATGAAAGGGTCCTGCTCCCTGAGCGGATTCAGATATCTGCTGGCGTAGAGGAATTGTTCTGTGACTCCGAGCAGGTGCGCTATTAAAGAGATTTCCGTGGCGGTGAGTCCACTCAACAAGGGGTCGGCTAGCTCGTAATACTCGCTCTCCGTCATAACCAACTCGAAGATAGACCCGATGACGTTACGATATCTTTGGGGTATTGGAAATCTGTATACCCATGCCTTTGGCTTCATGTCTGGATGCGGTGGGGCAATTGTGGCCGGCTTGCAGAGAGCATGCGGTGTAGCTTTTGAGGGATGTTCGCATGCGCCAAGCCGATATGAACATCAGTTCTTTCAGTTGATAGATGATATGCAGGAAATTTTGATAGGATATACAAAGGAGCGTACGTGCTACTTATATTACGGCGTCTAGCCCGCAATCTTGTAGTTGCCTTGACCAATACACGCTTGATGTTGTTCTTTGGCCCCGTAAGAGCTATTCCATTGGACGTGACGCGAGTGAGTCGCGCTAAGGCCTTGGCGGTGGGGCTAGTAAACAATTGCCGGACGTGTATTGGTTAAGACAATTTCGAGGTTTCGGGCTAGACGTACACATAGAACACCGACACTTCCTGGCTCAGGAGGGCTACAGCCTATCGGCCAGGATGGCGCCGCCCTTCCAAGGCTTCCAACACCCATGGGTTGGCGAGACCTGCTTGCAATCTAGTTCTGAAGCTGCCACTCCTGTTCCATTTACGACACAATTAATGTAATTTATGTTGGAATCGGCCGAACTGATCCTAGGAGCTGCCACGCTTTTTGTGAGGGGCCCCGCCAGGCGTTAGTCTTCAATATAATTACGAGGAATGTGAACAAGGCGCCATGTGGGTGCGATTCAAACAACGTAGTCAGCCTTGACAGTAGGCATTTGAGATCAAAATTCATGGAATTATCGGCTCCATGATACGTGGACCCGGAGTCTTCGTAAGGAAGGAGTTGAAGGATGCAGGGGGAAAATTCTCAATCCGGTAAACGGCTCCATTACTAGCAGCCAAGTGCGATAAACCAAACCAAGAAAAGTTGGATTCACCGCATTGCAGTCGGAAGCCTTCAATTTGATTATAGGTTGCTTATGCCTGCGAAACCCAAACAGGGATTCAGGCCCCTAGCGGCTCTCCAAATAGGAATGGTCCAGCTTTCATGCCCTCCAAGCTCGCTCGGCAGCTAGGTCAGGGCAGTGACTTTTCCCTACGATTGATCTGTTGCTCTTGTGTTTAAAACAATCCCTTGCCCTCCTACTATTTGGACGTTCAAACTTTACCCATCCATGAATAACACAATGGACGCAAAGGTCGACTTTTCGGTTCCAACTTACGCCGACCAATATTATGGAGAGTTCCAAGCACTCTGCCCTAACGATAGAGAAGTGCTCTACAACCACTTCTGGCGACTGCGAAACTGAGATTGGAAAACAAACCACATTGGTGGCCAAGCGCCGTTGATTGGAATTTTATTAATGACGAGGTTTTGGCTGCTGTGAAATCGAGACTGGAAGAGGAACCTAGGTGGTGGCCCACTAGCGTTGAATGGGGCTTCAAAGACGCCCCAGGTATGCAAGAATCCGGTCAGTCTTACGTCATGCACTATTTTTAACACTAACGTAATTCACCAGTGAGCTGCGCACCACTAGTGAGCTGCGCAGTCCGGAACACATAGTAAATGCGATATATGTTACATTTATATCTTAACAACCGCACACTTGTTCTATCTAGTTACCTACCGATAACAATCGATAAGACTTATTAGTACTGTATATCAATTTCAAGGACATCGAAAGGCTAGGTGATTATCATTTCCAAATTTACCGAAAATTACGAACGCAAAAGCTCGATATTAATATATTTTGATAATTATGACAGAGAAACTCCTTAAGCTCAGGTAAATTGCTAGACACTACATAGAGAGTATTTAGGCTCAAGGAAAGATTCCTGTAGACTAGGGTTGTTGAGATATTAAGTTGTAATTTATCGCATTTACTATGTGTTCTGGACTGCGCAGCTCACTAGTGGTGCGCAGCTCACTGGTGAACTACGTTAATGCTAATGTATGTCCAGAGAAATCCGAAGTCCTAGCATGCGTTATGAGAAACTACGACCACCAGGACCTTGCGAGAATACTCGACAAAGTTAGCGGGGAGCTTTATACAACAAAATTGTTTCACAATAGTCGACCGATTATTCGCAATTGGGAAATCTCAATCTAACAAATCCCAAGGGATCTTGAGTACGGTCCAGAACAGAGAGATCGTTACCAGCTTGCTGATGACTCCTTGTTAGGGCCCCAAAACCGACCAATCGGCCCAAAGACCGCCTGCGAGAGTCCCTGCCGATAAAAATATTTGCACTGCGGAATCAGCAATCCACGAGTCATAGCACGTTCCGTAGCGGTGTCCGGGATATGTTGGCTTCCGGAAAAATACCGGAGCAAGAACTTACGCCACGCCCGTCGATGTTAGTAGCAAGGCTGCACTCGTAAACCCACTTTACGTGCGGGTGCTAGAGGTCGAATACCACTGCAGGGAGTTGCATACAACCCAACCCCAACTTGCAAATCTCAGGCACGGTTTCTCCATCGACATAGCTTCTTACTCCCAACAGGGCGATCTGTTGTATGTGATTCCTCGGTCCAAGTGATAAGAAAGGAAATTGAAAGACTAAACAATGCGCTAGGACAAGCAGGCAATCGCTCCAAGCAAACCATGCGAATTCGGAACTGATTCTGGCAGATTCTCAAGGTAACAAGATACCTCTTGAGCCTGTCATTGGTATTTGCATTACCCGTGCTCCCGTGATTGGCGAGCTGTTTGTCGTCGAGCTCGAAGACCGTCAGAAAACTCAAGAAGCGTCATATTATATGTATGTTCAATCCCTGGGACGACAATATAACGCACAAACTAACCTGCAACATCAAAGGGCGTATTCAATCACCATGGCCCAGTCTTCCGAATATGGGAGTTTCCTTATTTACTTTTCCTCAGATTGGGACAACGTCTCGAATACTATCATATCGATGGAAGTCTTCAAGAAAAGCGCCCAAATTGGAAAGCAAAGCATAGCCAGAGTACAAGCTATTACTACTCTCCCAACTGAACCTAAAGAACAAAATGCAGAATCGAATCACAACAATCACAACCTATGAATCAGCATAAATCTATCAGAACACCCATCCAGTTTAACTCAATGCATTGCTGTCCACATCTCCGTCTAATTTACCCTCAGTACATATAATGTTCAGAAAGGAAATTACATCAGACACTGAAAACATAAGTAACAGGAAGCCAAAAATTCCATGCACCTACAAAGTAGTGAAGGGTATGCTTGGTACATCCCGAGAGTGATGTCACTTTGCCACTTGTTCTTCACGTTTCCTCAATCCGCGAAACAATCAGAAGAAGGTGCGGTCTGGGAGGTAGTCGACGATGACTCCGAGATTGATGACGAAGACCTCGGTGTCGTCAAAGCGGAGGACGCCTTGGTGGAGGATATCGTGTCAGTAGCAATACATCGGCTGCCATGCTTGAGTCCGTTGTCCAATGTACATGCCGACTTGTCGCCTTGGTAATTGAAGAAGCTGACCAGGCCAGTATGTTCCACCTCAATCCATGCAACTGACGAATTTTTTTTCGTGCCACAAGCCCCCACGCCACTCACAGGGTAACCTTGAGGGGTGCCGGTCTTGACGCGCAAATCTACAACTTTGTTAGTACCTTTTTCTGATTTCCATCCCCGGTATTTGCTTACTTGCACAGTCATCTCCGTCAAGTTTGCTAAAGAATTCCGAAGATCCCGTGCAGCCATGGTTGTCATAGGACCATATCGCGCATTGACCATCAATATCAATGATCTCAAGGGTGCCGGCGAGAGATCCGCTTGCATAGGCACTAGCGAGGATCATGATGATGGAGAAACGCATTTTCCTTGTTTTCCGAGGAATTATAGGAGCTTAAAATTCGAAAATATTTTGTGTGTTGCGTCTCGTGTCCTGTATTTCTTAACCGATTGATTTGGCGTTGTGTGTAGTCGAGCAAAACGAGGAAGGATGACAGAGGCTTTTATAGAATTACCGAGATTTCTGAGAGCCTTCAGATAGCCTGTAGGGGGCACATATTGAATTAAAAATGTCAGTCGGCTGACCAAAGTTGAGGTGCATAGGAGATTAACACTTTGGCAAGTATGGTCGGTTATTGAGGCTCACTATGCGGTCAGGAATCGGTTAGATCAGTTTAGGCCAGCTAAGACAACTTGATGCTTGCCCAATAACCCTTGACGTATCTAGGGCTAGAACATGCGGGCGACCTTTTCAGAACTGATGAGCTCCGGAGTTCTGAGGTACTTCCTTTCAACATCTCATCAGATTACACCTCACAACCCGGCCGAAGGAAAATGGCTTGTTACAGCTTTATGGCGTGTCGTCGTGGCCGAAGAAGTGAGGACTGGATATGCACTTGGACACTTGTGGCGTAGCAGGCCATTTTCGAAGTGATGTGCCACGTCTACGATAACGCGGGGCGCGAAATGCACAACCATAGATTTCGACCTTGGTCTTTGTCCATTCTGATAGAGCTATGCTATTCATAACCGAGGACCCATGTATCCAATTACGAGGCGTATCAGGCCGCGTGTGTGGTGGGCGGTCTTGTTCCGGAAGTAGGCCCAGCCTTGGTCCCCACAACACGCTGTGTTGAACGATCCAATTCATGTTTCTGAGGCACTACAACACGGTGCGGGTGAGTTGCCTCTGGCTTTTTGTTAGCCTTTTCGTCTCTTCAACCCAACAGTCCGCTGCATACTGTATGTTGCGGCCGGCAGCCGCACTTTGTCGAGGCCATGAAACACATACTGATACAACAGAATGCCCTTGAACTTTACTCCTGTGCTTCCAAGTAGCATCCTGCATCACTAAAATGAAATAGAACCCGCCGAAAAGCACATGGATAGCAGAAAGCATATTCATATTTTATACTTTGGGAGACATGGGACATCCTCTCCCACCATTACTATATAGCCTATGATCCCCCAGCTTGGTCACGGGCTCTCGCAACCCTGACCTTTGGCTTTTTCGAAGTGTCTAAAGACCATGTCCTCTTAATCCACCACAACCATGGATGGTGAATTCAAGCGCCTCAAAAATATCCAGATGAATGCGCTGGACGAGAACATCATGGCTTTCCTCGAAGCAACTCAGAGGTCGGTCCAATCCCGGGGCATATGCAACCCAAGGGGCCCTTTCAAGAGGTCTCTGATTCATTACGCCGCTATGGGGGACTGTACTGAGCTTCTTTTACGACTTCTGGATATTGGTGCGCCAATTGACGATCGCGATCAAAACAAACGTACCCCTCTTTCCTGGGCTGCTGAGTATGGCTCTTACAACGCAACGAGAATTCTGGTGGAAAATGGAGCCCAAGTCAATGCTCTCGACGATATGTACGGGACACCATTGTCGTGGCTGGAACACGCCGGGCGTCCTGATTGCAAAGGCCTCCCATTTACCAAAGCATATCTCAAAAAGAATGGGGCAACCATGAAAGGTGCCAAACGGGCCTGGATTTTGCAAAAGCTTGGGCTTCTCTGAGTGTTGTGTCTACGGGGGAATCTTCCAGCACCTTCCCAACTTAGGTTTCGTCCATAGTCTGCCTGTTGTGTTTCTGAAGGCTGTGATTCTTCGTTACTAAAGGAGTCTATGCATTCTTATCCCTTTTTCTTACACAGAGTTACGTCCCCAAGACAAACGTTTGTCAGCGGCAGCCACCTATAACCCATGTTCCTGTACTAGTCAAAACCTCTGTTAATATCGGAATAGAAAGTAAGATTCATCCCAGCTTGTTTGAAAGTTGGGATGGTAATAATGCACTATTCGTTTGTTGTACAATCTTGCCCGAGTGCAGACGATACAGGATCACTGGGCCTCGCGTACGCTAACAACCTCATCTAGTAATGCCATAGTTGGGTTGCTGTAGAATCTTACCACGATGCTAATTTGCCAGCAAAGGTAATAACAACTAGGGGTCGGCACGAATAACGAATATATTCGTATTCGTTACAAATATTCGCAATTCGCATTCGTATTCGCAGACATTTTGCACGACGAATGCGAATGCGAATAAATTTTCTATTCGCCGCGAATATTCGCAAGTTCGGTCACGTGGCAAAAGAATAACTAGTGAGCAGTCACAGCCCAAGTGACAAGACTTCACTTGATGTTCCGTGCCTTGCGAACAATGATCCACAGAGGCTTTATACTACTATATCCTTCGAAGCAAAGCAGCGGCTGGTTGGGAATACCAGCAAGACGCTCTAGGATTTTTCACTGGGTGTTCTCTGAACTATATATATCTCTCAACAGCATCACTTTCCGCATTGTCCCACCTTTTAGAGAATGTCGACGTACTCCTAACAGATCCCTACCACGGCTAAACAACCTCTCTACTGCGACTTCAGCCGCCGGAATGGCAAGGTAATCCCTGGCTGCAGCTGCCATCCGCGGATACTCATCGTTGTGCGTCCTCCACCAGCCAAATAACCAATCTTCATCCTTTGTTACAGATTCATCAACAGTCACCACACCTTCCTCAAAGTAGCGGTCAATATCTGAACGCTGGATCACTTGTGGTTGCAGCTTCTGCAGAACACGAGCCTCCAGACTTTGCCGCTTGTTGTCCTGGTTAATCTTTGACGTTGATTGCTCCAGTGATGATTTCGATGGGTATTGCTCATGCAAGGTATCCTTGATGGATCGAATAACCTTTGGCGCCGTCACCTGCCCGAGCTCCTTATCCAACAAGAGGGTTTTGAAGCGTGGGTCAAGGACAAGAGCTATATAATAAGCATCTTGGGCGTCCATCAGTTCATAATATTTCTTGTATTTCTTCATCCCCGCGGAGATGGCGGAGGTAATGTCAGAGCTAAGCCCCGAAAAGTCGCCTTGTGCAGAAGCTGCATCTTCGAGCATGTCATTCAGTTCGTAATAGATGGGAATGGCTAGGCTGATCTGGGATTTCCGCCGGGAAACCAGTTGAGTGAACTCATCGAACTTGGAGAGGATCATTTCGAGCTGTTGCAGCTGCAACCAGTCGTCAGCTGAAAATGGCGGAAACTGGTTCTGATGCTCTATCCACATCCGGATCTGTGCTTTGGCTTGCAAGGCTCCCTGGACCATACGGTATGTGGAGTTCCAGCGGGTTTCCACGTCATACTCGATGAACTTGTCGTTCAAGCCATTTGCTTGGCAAGTCACTTTCCACTGCTGTCGTCGTTGAGGTGTCCTCAATATCCAGAGAGTCATGATCCGAATCCGGGCTAACGCAGACTGCCGTCCGATTTTCTTATTTCCCTGTAAGAGATCACAGGCTTCAATGGCAGACTTGTGATCTCCAGATTTCATCCTCGAGAGGATGTCGCGGACAATGAGATTGAGGACATGTGCAAGACACCGGATGTAGCTGTCAATACCTTGAAATCGGAGACGTCCTTTATCGGGCAATTTGGAATCCTCCGAGTTGTACTTTTCCAACAGGTGAAAATACAGCTCAGACACCAGCGTTTCATTATTCGACGCATTATCAGCTGTGATTGTGAGCAGCTTCTCCTCAATCCGAAGCTCGACAAGCATCTTCTGCAGAGTCTCCGCCATATTTTCTCCACTGTGGGATCCAGCAAGTTCGCTGAACTCCAGGACTCGTTCTTGATATTTGAAGTCGGTGGACACCCAGTGACCGATAACTCCCAGAATGGCTTTATGGTTCTTGCTTGTCCAGACATCCAAGGAAAGCGCAATTGTGGAGCATGTCCGTGCTAGTTCATCGATCAACTGGACCCGACAGCGATCAAAATCTGCGTCAATGCGGCGGGCAACTGTTCGAGAAGAGAAAGGAAGAGGAGCGTCCGGCAAGTCCTTGAATATCTGTTGGAACGCAGGGGACTCAATTGCCGTAAATGCCACATCATCTGTCACAACCCATCGAAGTATGTTCTGTTCCAACAGGGCTCTAGTATCATGCTCGGCTCGGGACTGGAATATTGAAGCAATTGAGTGCTGTTTCGTCTCGCTGGAACCCTCGCCCAGGTCCTCTGGACCGGACTTTTCGAAAATGTTGTGTTTGGCTAGGTGCGTCTTCATGTTGGTCGTAGATGTTGCCCTTGCCGAATCTGTGGTTTTCCAGCCACAATGAATGCATTGAATCTCTCGATCCTCAAGCAGCTGTCGGCTTCGCCTGGGCCGCCATTGCTTGCCCGGAAGAGGACTAACTCGAAATTGATTCCAAAGCCATTGATTCAGTGGCTTAATGCGGGCTTTTCTGTGCGATTTGTATGGCCGTATGGCCTCTGTAAAGCATCTAGAGCTCCCTGGTGGAACAGATTCCGACGGAGTAGGTAGATTGAGATGCAGCTGGCTGGCGGAGTCTTCAGGACCAATCGATTCTAAGCGACCAGGTGGCGAATCCAGTCGGGATTTCTTTCTGATATGATCTTCAATATCGTCTTCGTCACTTCCACCATTTAAGAAGTGGTAGTCTATTCTCTGAGACCGTTGGGGGCGTGGTGGCAATTCAACAGATGAGCTGCCGGAGCCATCATTGTTTGAAGCTGGCAATTCAGCACCAGACATTCTGAGCTCTATTACCGTCATCGAAACACGTCCTTGAAATAAACTTGTCAGATTCGGACGCGACTTGTCACTTGGATAAACAAACTGCACGTGATATACTTTTTCCTATTGGGTGGGAGTTAGTTTTGGTGACGGGGCAATATTTGTACGAATATTCGTACGAATATTGGCCTTGCGAATACGAATATTCGTAGAGGTCTGTGATCTACGAATGCGAATGCGAATATCTCAAAATGTTACGAATATGTATTCGTGCCGACCCCTAATGAAAGTGAATAAATTCGCGTTGATATGGGGTGAAATGC